CCCCCCTCAAAAGTAAGGGGAAATGTCTGTGCATCTTATAGAGCAAATATTTCTGTGCAGTAAGTCTGTCAGATGTGCAGCCCATGGGGAAGTAATGGGGAATGTGCCTGTGATAATGTGCCCATTTGATTCGGAATATTTTTTTTCTTGTTTTCCTCCTCTAAAATCTAGGTGCGTCTTATGGTCAGGTGCGTCTTATAGAGCAAAAAATACGGTACATCCCATGATTAATGTGATTTAACATATCAGATTAGACATATTTCTAATTTGGAAGACCAGATCTTCACAATGCTAGCTTGATTTTTTTAAAATTTGCTTTTGCAAATAATGCAATGTTAGGTGATCTATATTCATGCACACCTAAAATTAAATATGTCTCAGTATCCTTTATTGGCCACCCTATAAACTGAGCCACATAATAAGATGTACTAGATAGTGGTGCAGGTGCTCTGTACAACTATCTCCACAGATAGATAGTTCGGCCGGAATGCACTTGCCCCAGGTACTCACTGACCAACTTCATTTCCTGAGGGGACCTTTGGATTCACAACTGTGCAACCACTTCAGTTTAGGCCATGTGTGACAATGTAACATAATAAAAGGTCTGAGCATAGCTCTGTAGCAAGTAGAGGGTGCGATAGAATGATTTAGGAAATGGCACTGAGTCATGCAAGCAGGTAACACAGAAAGGGGTTTACATGCAGTCCACCAGACTCTCCCCACTCTCCGGAGTTTGTGTGGTCCCACTCAAAATAGGAAGTGCATAACTTGTGTGTGGGGATAATGCACAGCAGCTGATTTCCTAATGAACACTGAAAATGCTCAGATGATTTCATCCCAACCTTCTTTCCTCAGCAAAACTGAAACGAATTGATCTGACAAGCAACTTTCTTTCCTGGGTGGATGAAGACTCTTTCCAGCTGCTGCCCGCCTTGGAGGAGCTTGTCCTCACTGAAAACATGTTGACTTCACTGCCAGAGCTTCCCAGTGCCATTGTGCAGCTGGATGCCCAGTTTAATATGCTCCAGAGTGCAGGCATTCGACCTGATGCTTTCAGGGTGAGCTTCTTTCCATTTTTTTCAAGCCCAGTTTCAAGCCCAGTCTATAAATTATTGCTCCCCTTTGGTTGGTGTTCCTTTCTCATTGACAGTGTGCCACCTCACTTGTTTGCATAAAGAGTTTAATAGAGAGGGGGGCAGTTTGTGAGAATACTCATATGACTTGGGCAACAAGGTTAATGGCACTGGTGTTCAGTGGACCTCTTATCAGATCTGAACTCTACAGACCACTCAGCTTTGTTGATTGCAGTTGCCAAGCGGTACAACTCACACTCCTACCTGGAACTTCAGGAGATCATTTCAAGATAGAGAGGCATCAGTCCTTGCATTTTTTATTTGTTTGTTTGCCATAGAAATTAATCAAATTATTGGCAAAGGGCACCCAGGGCGGTTTTTATTTTCTGTGCTGTGCTGTGCTTTGCTTTTGGTGGCTATATCCCATTTGACTGAATTTCATTATGCTTGGCAAAGTCAAACTGAATTCCTTTGAGAATCCATTTTGAATTTGGGGAGACTTGATCTGAAACTTAAAGGAGGCTTTAACTTGTGCTTTCAGGATCTCAAAAATCTGCAGTTCCTTCATCTGTCTGATAACAAACTGGACAATATTCCAGTGCCCCTTCCAGAGGGACTGCGATCTTTGCATTTACAGGTGAGATGGTTTCATTGATCTTTAGAAGGCAAATATGTGACATTCACAGCCAAAGAACAATTCCTTAAAACAATAAGTTGTTTTCATCAATGTCCTTTTGGATTACTATGAGAAAGAAGATATAGAGACATAACATGGGCCATGATGTGTGGTTGGATCTGTTCTTTTTCTTTCCCTGTCTGGTGTCCCTGAGGAGTGGGGGTTCCTTCTGTGTTAGGGACAAACCTAGGACAAACTGACCTCTCCCTACTGTGGTACCACAAATGAGATACCTGATCACCTTCCTGCTCTGTAAGAGGCCAGGAGTCATTTAAGGTGACTTTGAGCAATTTTAAGTGCAGGAAATCACCCACCCATGATGACATGCAAAGCCAGATACAATCCACTTCCAGGTAACCCTAGTGCCCCAAGGCTCAGAAGGAGGCTTGTTGACAGGGCTGCTTTGCCCACGGTAGTTCAGTTAGCTAAATGAGTGGAGGGTTAACACTTTTATGGAGGAATAGACCAATCTGAAACTTCAGATGTGCTCAGCCATCTGCTGCAGTACCGTTCCTGGACTCTGATCCACCCATTCCTAGAAGATGATTGTGATGCAGCTACAGAAGGGATGGCCAGTCAACCACAGCTTTAGTGCTGACCATAGTTCCAGTCCTTAGCATCTCCTGGTGGATTGACTTTGCTTTGTTGGGGCTGGAGCTGGAGGAGGCAAGGAAACTCTGGGGAACCCATTATATCAGAGCGCAAGAGCACAGAACCTCTTTCAGCCTAAGGGCAAAGGGGGTTGGCCCTGAATCCTCAAATTAGTATCTTATTGTGGCTTAAAGCTGTCACTGCCAGTAACTAAGCTTTCCAGTTTCAACTTAGTTATATTTTCAACTAAGATTTCAAACCTTTAGAATGAGAGCAAAACTGCACAAAAGTTGGGACACCACCAACTGATAGCTGGTAGGGGGAAAATTGAGGGCAGAGGAGGGGGCCTTATATGGAGAACTCTGGACTGGGATACCAGAAGGGCTGGATTTTGCTTCTAGGCTGGAGATTCTGCACCCCATCATGGTGCCTCTGCCAATGTGTGTGTATGCTTTTAGACATGGTTGGGCCAAAGTGGATGTAGCAAAGCTGATCTGGGTGTGTCTAAACCTGGACCTGCCATAATCACAAAAGCAGAGGTGGGAGGGCCCAGTTTATGTGACTGGAGAGTACAGAGCTTTCTGCCGGTTCAGGGACCCAGGGAGAGGACCTGTCCGAAGCAGCAGGTCCTGCACAAGTCACCCGCCCTTTCCTTTGCCCCTAAATTCAGGACATCCCCACTCTTGCTCTCTGTGTCATTGAGTCAGATGCAGGCGTCAGTGCTTGGGTCTGCAACTCTCAAGGTCGCCTTCTCCCTTTGTTTCCCTGCCTAGAACAACAACATCCAGACCATGCAAGGAGACACGTTCTGCGACAGTGAAGATCCCAGTCACATCCGCAGAGCTCTGGAGGACATCCGCCTGGACGGCAACCCCATCAACCTGAGCCTCTTTCCCAGTGCTTATTTCTGCCTGCCTCGCCTGCCCACAGGCCACTTCTACTGAACGGAGCTCCCCTCCACTACTTGCAGTCCAAACCAGGAACGGGTCTCAAAGAGAAGCTGCCTGGCATGCATCTCGCTGCCAGGAGGACGCTGATGCTGTTCTGCTGGCATCACTCTCCTTCCTCCCTTTCTCAGCTTGACTTCTTTTCTGTGGGAGGAGGTTTCCTAAGAGGTCATCAGTTCTTGATGTGCCCATGTTAGAGAGAAAAATGTAAGGATAGTGCTTTAAAAAAAACCACACTTGGACATTCACACTATGTATCTTATTCTTTTTAAAGAAAATAAATCTATATGTGTAAGTGGCTACAAGAGTTTCATCAGTCAGTGGAGGTTCCTTTCGAAGGAATTATCTTACTATTCCCTTTCATACAACCATGGTTCTTTCCAGATTTGTCTGAGCATCCTGGTGCAGATGCATCTTGTTCCTGTTGCACAACTGCTACTCTCCAGGCCACTGTCCCAGAAACCTCCATCTCCCATGTCCTGTACCCCTATAGAATTATCCAAGCATGATACCACCACCACCTGCTTTTAAAAGAATACTTTTATCATTCTGACCCTTTCTGAATAGCTCCGTAGATCGTTAGTTAGTTAGTTAGTTTATTGTTAGATTTGTTTAGAAGCCACATGTTAGTGTAGATGCCCCTCTGACTCCTTTGACTCTTTCTATTCCAGTCCAGTATCCCTTAATCATGCTGCAAAAGAACACAGGCTCATCTTGCAGGCCATCGCTGCTGCTTTTGCAGCACTGTGACACATTGAGCTAAGAAAGTGCTTGGAAGATACACCAAGGATCAAATTATGGCTCAGGCAACATCAGAACCTCTTTAGCTCTGCTGAGTAATCTTAACTGTAAATTTGGAATCATTGTGTCATCAGTACAAGGTAGATGCAGCTGTTATGGGAGGCATCCACATCCAATGCACTTGCCTTCTGCTCTCACTTCAATATTTCAAGTCCTACTGAGGCAGAAGTCCTTCTGGCAAGACTAGCTGGATGCTACATGGAGATTCTTCCTTCTTTATGTGTATGCAAAGCTCAGAGGTAGAGCACAGGTCTAGCATGCAAAAGGTCACAGGTTCACTTTCTACTATCTCCAGATAGGACTGGGAGAAGCAACTTTTGTCCAAGCCCTTGGAGATCTGCTGATAGTCAGTGTAGAGGGTACTGGTTAGATGACCCAATGGCCTGAATCCACGGTTCAGACAGTTTCCTATATCAGCACCTCAGAACTGAGAAGGAAGATGCCTGTGCAGCTTCTCTTCCCTGCCCCGCTGCTGTCATGTACTCTTATCACTTGCTCAAGTAAGACTCTCATCATTAGGAATGGATGAGCCAGTGGTGCTCCAGTTCACCACAGTTCTCCAGTCATCAATATGACATTGTTTCTCCCCAATTTGCACTCCCATTTGTGACTGGTGGTTGTTTTGTGTCAACAGAAAGCCTGTTTTATCAATCATATGAACATTGCACAAATATGAATACTGTACAACACTTCCTTAAATTTGTGCAAAATCCACTCATATAAAATATCGCATTTTAAAGCTGCACAGTTGCAAAGTTTTTTTCTCATGAAATTTTACTGAGATTTCCTAACATTTTTGAAAAATGAATTTTTCTGCTTATGTTTGGGTTGTAAATGAGGCATCTTTGCTAGTTTTGCAAGCAGAAATAAAATTATCATGCATCCCTTATTTTGCATTACAGTGGATGGGGACTATAAGGCAACTGGGGAAGAGAAGAACCGGAGAAGAGGACTTGTTAGATTGCAGCCTCACCTTTCGAATGCCTGTACATCTGCTCAGTACTGCACGCCCAGCTCTGATCTTATCATTGATTCACACTGGAAATCTTAGTCCCTGTAATCTTTGCACTTTAGACTGATGGGGATAAATGCAGCACCCTTGGCTATGCAGCCATAGCTGAAGGCCAGGAAAAACATAATAAATAAAAAGACGATAGAATTGGTGTGCATCTTTGTTTATAGTCCTGCATCAATGACATCCTCTTAATAATGGTGATATCCAGACTAAATAGAAGACCTTCCCTTCCTCAAAGCATAGCGATTGGAGACCCAGATCAATTCACCCTGGGATCAGAAGGTGGACACGTTAGTCACTCAGCTGCATCCCTTCCGGTTCCCAGCCCCTGGACACTGCTTTGGAGAAACAAAAGTATGGTATTTGCAGGAGGCAAAGTCCGAGTGGCTCACAAAGATAACTTGCTAATAATTTGCCCCATTCAACTCCAGCTTTGATACAAGCAGAGAAAATGCACTCTTATGTGACTGGGACTCATTTAAATCAGAAGTAAGCGACCTGGCAAAATGTCTTAACCTACAGGCTGCCCTCCCTCTAGGGTGGTCACTTGCTCATTTTGTCCAAAACAAACAAAACCTAAAGAAAATAGAGATCTGCATTAAAATTGCACATGCTATTTGTGTCCAGTCTGCTGCCCTGGGGCTAATGGTGAATGGGCCTCACTCTCTCTTCTGATCACAGTCGGCCACCTAGCTTCCCATCTGTGGCTGATGGTTGGTTTCACTTTGTACTGCAGATTATTTTAGATAAATCAACAAAGCAGTGCAGGTGGAAGCAGCATACATTTCTTTCCTGTCCACTTTGATCAGGAATGGTAGAGTTATTCCTTAATGCAGCAAAGTCTATGTCATCTTCCTCAGTCCAGATATGAAGGCATTGTGGTTGCTCTAATTATGAACATTTCTGATGTTTCCTTTTCCCTGTTCCAAGAAGGTGGACACATGCCATCTTATGACTGGAAAGGAAAGAACCTCCATGAGCAGCTGCTAGCATTAGAGAAGCTCAAATGGCTTCTGTTTGGCTTTTTGGCTTCCTTTAGAGAAAGGCTCTGGTTGATCATTTTCAAGACCTATACTCTAAATCCAGATCAGTAATGTTGTATTTACCATACTGTCCAGGAAATTTGCTTGAAATATTCTGCTCTATATGTAGATATTTTCTAGGTGTTCTCTAGTGTTGGGAAAGATTTCTGAAATCAGCGGATAGAAGCCTGAAAAGCCTTGGTTACTATCACCAAAACAATAACAGCAGAAGAAATTTCTTAGTCTCATTGGCTGCCTCAGGAAACAGAAAACAAACAAATAGAAACACCAACACAACATGAATGGTTTAAGATGATTTGAGTTGTAACACCGATGTCCAAGATGACCTGCATCTGCTTCTGGAGAAGTAATGCCTCTCTTTCCTCTCTACCAGAAAATATGAGGATAGTTATCTCCAAAATGACAAGCAACCATATGTTTATTTTTCTCCTTCTTTGTTATTAAAATACTTCTATTTCATCTAGGCAGGAACCTGAGGAAACATCCAACCCAGAGCTGGATTACACTCCAACCTTGTGTTAAAATCAGTGAGATGGAAATTACGTGGAAGAAAATGTTATTCCTTTGCTTAAACGCTGAATCCTCTAGATAGCAAGAGAGGAAAGCAAGGGGAGAATATTTCACACTGCTTTTTTCTTCACCAATGAGTCTGTTCAATAACTCCCACCTGTGCCTGAAGACCCGTATGATCCTTTTGCTTTCCAGCTCTCATGCACACAAACTGTTTGATATCCAGACAGGGTAACTTTCTCCATGACCTTGGAAGTAGGGAAGCATGTGGGAAGGCAGTGATTATCGAAATCCACCTTAAGTGGGTTCTTAATCAACAGTGGCCAAATCTCCTTAGTGCCGCTTCTGTTTGACTGCCCTGTTGTTCTGGCTGTGAAGGATGGAAGGCTAACAGATTAAGGTGCAGATTATGGAAGAGCTGGTATACATTTTGCAATGGGTATGGATTTACAGGGGTCAGATCTTGCCTTAAATCCTCAATCCACTGGTTTTTATTTCTTTCCTATCCCTCCTAAAGAAATGCATTGTAGCAACTCCCCCCAGCCTTTTCTTTAATCTCCAAAGAAAAATGTAAAGGCATATTTCTGCAATAATAATTATACTCACTGTGGGATGTTTTTAAGTATTCACGGGTAGGGTAAAAAGGGATAGAAATAATCACTTACACAGTGCAAAATAGAATTTGATTAATACCTTGAGAGAATCATGATTTGCTTATCCTCCTTGAGCCACTAGGTGGAGCAAGAGAATGTTATCGAACCAAATGTAAACTGCTTTCTTAATCTCTGCTGTTAGCGTGTTATCTCCCTTCTGCTCCCGTTTTAGCATTTAAACTGATTGTTTCAATCGATGAGATTCGTGAGCTCCTGCCCTTCAGTGAGCAGCACTGTCTATTTGCTGGTTGCTGGGAAACCCACAGTTTCAATGGAGACTGTGGTACAAAAATGTGAAAAAGAGAGAGGCAGGGACTGAGACCAAAGGAAGCATGGAGCAAAGGCCAGAACAACATTCTGAATAGTGCCTTGTGGGAGAAATATTATTTGATGGTGTGGGTGAGATTGAGTATTAAGGTGAAATCATGTACTCTTCTATAGACAGTAAGTTAAATGGCTATCGGGGGTGGGGGGAGCTTGTCTGCCCACACACATTGTGCTGAATAATCCACTTTCACAAGGAACTGTAAGCTTCTTGCAGCACAGACCTTTTTTGTGACTTTTATTATGCACTTCTCTGCTAAAGTTGCTTAGCATGTTCCTTAGGGAGAGTTGCTTATCATGCACTCTTCTCTGTAAAGAAAAATAACCATAAATGTCATGATATAATATGGAGTCTGTATCTTTTCACAGGAAGGATCCTCATTTAACTGCAGCCTGGATTCCATTCTTCCTCCTCCGCCTCTTTCCTGTATGTGCCTGCCTTTTTGTTTTTTCCCCTCCCACTCTTCCTCCTCCACTTTTTCCTTCCTTCTCCGTTCCTCAGCATTTAAGACGCATTCTCGAACAAACCAATGGGCCATCCCCTCCGCTGTTCTCTTCGTACCAGGGCCAAGCAACTGGCCACAGGATTCCACAAGCAGGACATGAATGCTACGGCCCCCTCCTTTCCAAGTTTCTTGGCTATTGGAGGCAAAATGTAGCCAACAGGACTTTGTAGTAGCCAATGAAGGATTGCTTCAAACAGGGCTCATGGTCCAACAGCTACCATATTATTCACGGATTTGGAAACTTCTGCACAGATTAAGCTGGAGGGCAGATACGCAGGAAACTCCAGGATACTGCGTGCTTTACAGAAAGGACCGATACATGGCTAAAGTGCTTTCTTTATGGAACAGCAGTAGAAGAATGGAAACTTTAGAGCATGGCCTAGTTTCTGGTGAGGGTGTGTCCTAGCTGTGCTGGCACTGATATATGCTTGGGCATGCAAGGGAAAGGATCCAGGAGCAGATGAGTGGC